TTGTTACTACTAGTAAGGCCAGGAGCCCCTAGCGATGCCAGGAGCCCCTAGTAGCTTCTTGTTCCTAGTAGCGAACCTTGCTCCTACTAGTAAGGCACCTGTTACTACTAGCGTGGCACTTGTTACTAGTGTTTTCTCCGTTTGCCCGTTCCGCTCCCTAAGTAGCTCCGCCAGGCCGCTCTCAGAAGTGTCATTTCCTTGGATCGAGAGCGTCGCGCCGGTCTGAGAGCGTCGGCTCCGCTAGTATGTGTGTGCGTGTGTGCGTGTGTCTGCGTGTTTTAGGCCGCTAGAAGCGTGTGCTAGTATGTGTCTGCGTGTGATAGGTAGCTAGCAGCTAGTAGAGACTAGGTTAGCTACTAGCTTACCCAGGACGCAGGATAGCTCACGCTTCTTCAAGGAAGCTCTCCCCGCCGCCCTAATGATTTAGTTCCTAGACTTTTAGGGAAACTTAAGAAGTATGTAGCTTTGTTTCAGACTAGGGGCTCCTGGCCTTACCACTAGGAGCATCCCTCCGTGTGGACCTCTCAGAACAAGTCAAACTTTCACGATTTGAAACAACCCTCTCCAAATGACAGCAGTTGTAAAGGGGAACAGGTCGACACTGGTGGAAAATCCAAAATCCCACCTACTCTGCAAAAAAGAATCGATTAACCAAGCGATTGGAAAATACAATAGCAAAAGCTGGCTCATGAGACGCACTATTGCAGGCTTGTTGAAAGTCGGCCCGTCAATCTTCTACGCCCCGCAATACAATCTAAGAATTCCCTTTCCAAGCTTCTTGGTGGCTGTGGCGTAGGATCATCCTGCCCAGCTTCCATGGGAACCTCCAATCGCTTCAGCTTTGAAATCCCCTTCCCCATATGATTTCCAAGCACTTGAACATCTTTGGCAAGAGTTCAAGAATCAAAAACGAAATGGTTCTCCTTCTCTTTGAAAACTTGCTGCAAGAATAGACACGACACAAAGCACAAATGCAAACCTCCACTCCCGTGCGCTATCCTTTTACACCAGTGTCTCAGTTCTGTAACCAACTCCGGAACCCTCGAAACATACTTCGACTCAGGCTCTCATTGGATCACCTAAGCCACAGGAAACTGGAGAGCCAAAGCCATAGGCACAAGCTGCAGCTCTTCGCATTGTTGGGCATTCCGGCTCGCATCTTGCATCCTGTCTCAACTGGATCAGCGGCACATTTCCCTTCGGCATCGCAAATGCATGCAAAGGGATAGTCATCCAAGGCCATTCCTGTCGTGCCAAAGCCCAAGTCCATCGCCTTGTAGGCCAAGTCCGCCGCTGAGGGAAGAATGTCAGAGTGCTCCTCCAAGATGGAGACACCATGTGAGTCACCAGACTCACCATGTGACCGCATGAGCTTTGAAGGCTCTAAGTCACCTGAGGAATCCACCGTCATCGCCTGTTGACGTGGATGGCTTCCTGCTGAGGCGCTGAAAGCGAAGACCAACACCAAGCCGCAACGGAAGCCACGGATCATCATCTTGAAATTTCTCAGTCAATGCAATTGAGATTTACTTCGAGCCGCACATACGGCTGCAGAATGGAAGCGTGCGAAATGACCGCCCTTTGCGCGGGATGGAATCGGACAGAATCCGACACAGTCCGACGTGGGTAGTAGCTTCCTATTGCTAGTAGAGTACTTCTCCTCTCCCTTTATTAAGTAGGCAGTCTCTACTGGAATAAGTAAGAAGGCAGGGCCACTGGCGGCCACGGGCCAAAAAAACTAAGCTACTTGATGCTACTTGACGCTACTTGTTATCGTCCTAGTCATCTCTTCATCTCTTCGTCTACTCAGCATGGCGATGTGACAGACTCGGTCGCCCTGAGCGCCCTGCCACAGGTAGGCTCTCCACAGCCCATGAGTTCATTCCATCTGGCGACATCGATGACGTTTCCGGAAGAAACCTTCAAAAAGCCAAAGGTCCTTGAAATGCAAACGTTTACCTGAGAAATGACCACGACTTCACAAACAATATCCCTCAAAATGTTCCACATCTTCCAACTTCCCGAGACCCCCGAGACCGCCTTTGTCAAGAAAGGAGACCGCCGAGCCACCGCGAGGCCCGAGAAAAACCCGGACGAAACGGCGAAACGGCGAAAGTGCGTTGGATACGGTGGGCTGGTTGCAGTGCGTTGCAGTGTGTGGCAGTGAACGGAACCAATGACGCCAAACAGTTCACTGAAAGTCGTCGCACATGTCTTACCTAAAAACTGGCTGCGGTTTCGGTAAGTGGCTGGGCTGGTCGCTGCTGCGACTGGTCTTTTCGGAGCCAATTTCTGCCTAACTGGCTACTGGGCCTCGTTTCTCTTTATGCTCCGCTCCGGCTACTTTACCTGAGAGCCAACAGCAGGGAACGCTTCGCTTTGAAGGCACCTGAAAATAGACGTGACATATCAATATTTCATGTCAATACATATGTAAAAATCCACAAGTCTTGATCATCTCTTCAGAACCTAGCATTGGTATGTCCAAAAGGCGTCAAGCTGGGCTTTGAGACCCCATTCCAGCAAAAGGCTGACTAGTCACTAGGATTCATTGAGCTCAAGTAAGTTTCACTCGAAGGCTTTTACCATGGTATTCCACAAAGGGTAGAAAAAATATATATATAATACGTTGGAGGCCATCGCGATATATCGCGATTAGGTTGGAGGCCATCGCTACTAATTACAAAAACATACGGAGGAAGCGAGCAAGCCAGCATCATCAGCATCTAAGTGTGGGTTGATGCGAAAAATCATGTTAGTATGATGCGCTCTATTCACTATTCACAGCTCGTCATTGAATGGTACAAATCGTCAAGCACCACAAGCGTTTTTTGGGGCGAATGAATTCTGAAGAACTCATCTCCTGAGTCTTCAGTCCAAACTTCCTGAAACTACGAGAGAGGATTGCTTGTTGCAGCAATATGCGGCAATCCTGTATGCAGGAAGGAAACATGGATTTTGTTGTAAATCTGGTGCATTAAACCCCGTGTTAGGGATCACGTAGGTGAGGTTTGCTGCCTTTTGGCGGACAGTTTAAGGCAAAGGGAGGTGCCGCAGGTCTTTCAGCGCTCAAGCCGCTCAGGTCTTTCGGTGTTTTTGGCCTGGAAAGTCTGAAAACAAATCCATCTGCAATTGTTGATTTAAAAAAATGCAAATGTCCTAGTAGTAGCGTACTTTGCTCCTAGTAGTAAGGCCAGGAGCCCCTAGCAGCTTCTTGCTCCTAGTAGCGATGCCAGGAGCCCCTAGTAGCATCCTTTGCTCCTAGGAAAAGAAAGACAAAAAAAAACATGCGTAAAGAACGCTTGGTTGACTTGGCCTGATAGATTTGACAGCAACGGACAAAGGCATCCGCCAAGAGTGGCCCCAGGCACTCATTGTGCCAATCCTTCGCAAACAGTAGAAACCGGACCGGTAATATAGATCGCTTCTACGTTGGAGGTCATCGCTATCAGGTTGGAGCCCATCACTATTAGGGTGGAGGCCATCGCTACTACCTTGGAGGCCATCGCTATTAGGTTGGAGGCCATCGCTATTAGGGTGCAGGCCATCGCCATTAGGTTGGAGGCCATCGCTATTAGGGTGGCAGCCATTGCTATTGGGGTGGAGGCCATTGCTATTAGGGTGGAGGCCATCGCTATT